CAGTAGAAAACCCTGACTAGGCTATTTCAATTTATTTATTTTTTGTGTGGATGATGAGTAAAAAAAGTTTGACTACGTTTTACCACAATATTTAAGGGATAATGGTCGACAGGGTTGATTAAGTTTGTCCCAGATTACCATCTAATGGTAAACTGGGACAAATTTTACAGTTTGTCCCAGTTTACCACAAACTGTAAAATTTGTTTGATGCTTTTGTATTTGTCAGAAATGACAGTTTGATTTATGAAGCATCTGATGAGCTCTGGACACACACGTGTGTTTACAGTGTTATAGTTTGTGTTTGTAGTTAATATGGTCAAGCATCCACAATCCTGTCACACAGTGTTTATAGTGAATATGTGAGAAAGTATACAGTTCCACTAACAAACATTTGGTTGAACTATAGACTATAAACACATAAGAACAGTGTTGGTAGATTTTGTTACAATGAATCCAGTTTTGTATGTTTTGTAGTTGAATTTCCACCTGCAGAGTCATGTAAACAGGTACAGTTTGCTTTTGTTGCTCTGAGTTGTGGATCAGGATGAACGGATGTGTTATTGATTTTGCTTCTGATCGGGGCTTTACTGCTGTAATAATGTGTGAGCTGTGATTGGCAGAGCTTTTAATGTAGTGATTCAGTCAATAACGCATTAAGACTGTGTTTAGTTTTATTATCAAAAGGAAATGAAGTCATGTGTGATTTGTGCGTTTGTGTGTGTCTCTGTCTGCAGTCTTTCATGCAGCGTTCCTCTCTCTTCTCTTTCTCAGGTGTGTTGTGAAGATCATAGGTGAGATGGTTTTGTCGTTTCCGGCGGGAATCACGCGGCACTTTGCCAATAACCCGTCCCCCGCCGTGCTAACCTTCAGCATAACCAACTACAGTCGACTGGAGCATGTGCTGCCTAACCCCCAGCTCCTCTGCTGGTAATGACACCACCGTAAACTCAACATGTCAGTTCAAAAAATAAAAATAAAAACTCAGCTTTTGCAGGAAGATGTGAAAAGATCGACCCAACCTTTCTGGGAATACAGAACTAAATCTAAATACATTATTGTCTAACTTTAGCGGCACCCAGTAATACCTAACATGTTATACGTGGTCTCGTGTAACCAAACGTGATTAAAACCAAATCAGATGTACCTGTTGCAAATGATGCATCATTTTAGTTTCACTTACAGAGCATGTGCGATACTTATTTTTAATAAGCATGCCACACTTGACATTCAATTTTAATGACTTTTGTTATGCAAGTCACCTTATTATCTATGGTGACACAGCAAGTTTGATGTCACACAGACTGTAAAACAGGAGAGCAGCATGTTACCAACAAAAAGGAGTAAAGAGGTTTTGGGGAGGTCGAGGTGATGGTGTGAATGTTTCCATGTTTGCAGCGCTGACAGCTGTTAGTGACTCATCAAACATCTGCAATCCCCTGTGGTTTATTCGGGGGTTTTAGCTATGACCACTTCAGATGAGTAAATTTTGTGAGCTTATTTCCAAAATGAGCGCTGAGTAAGTGTGGAGTCATCGTGAGGTCGTCTGAGTGTGCAGGCAGATAAACTTGTTGTGAAACGCCTGATAAACCGCCTGATGTGATCTTTAAAATTAAAATTAAATTATGCAAAATATCACACATCGTTATAGCATGAAGTCACGTGACCTCACAGTAGAATAAACATTGTTTTTAATTATGATTCATTTGTTTATTACAGCTGTCGAACGTTGACGTTTTCCAGCCTCCTTGGTGTTTCTTGTTTTTAGAAAAGCAACTTAAAAATAGTTTTTACTTTATTCTCAGCACCTGTAAAGTCTGTGATGTAACGACCACCAACCACATCTGGATCATTGTTGGGTCACGCTGACTCTGTGAGGAAAAGTCGCATTTTTCCTCCCAAAAAACTTACTAGCACATCGCTGAAGTGTGTGGCTGTGTTTAGTCACTTCAATAGAAAACCACCACAGTCCTGTGAAACGTCTGTATTCTGATCGGGCTCTTTACTGCGATTCCTCCACCAGCGACACCACCACGCAAGCCAAGGCTGACAGCAAGGACTTCTGGGTGAACATGCCAAACCTGATATCGCATTTAAAGAAGGTGGCAGAGCAGAAACCACAAGCGACGTACTACAACGTGGACATGCTCAAGTATCAGGTAACCTTGGATTTAGGATTTCGAGAGTAGCTTTAATCCCAAACACTGAACTCCTTCAGTCGAAGCATGTTCAGCTGTTTAGGGTGTTTCAGTGTGAACAGGCTTTTATCGAACCACGTGTTTGCCAGGTGTCAACACAGGGCCTGCAGTCGACTCCTCTGAACCTGGCAGTGAGCTGGAGGTGCGAGCCCACCAGCACTGACTTGAGGATAGACTACAAATACAACGGGGAGGCCATGTCGACGGCGATGGCCCTCAACAACGTTCAGTTCCTCGTCCCCATTGATGGAGGCGTTTCAAAGCTACAGGCTGTCCTACCTCCTGCTGCATGGTACGGTCTTTCTAGACTTGTAGTTACACAGAATTAAGCTACACAGCTGAACAGATTAAGGGGGTAAAGGAGGCATTTATTGCTCCAAATGTTATTTAAACAAGAGATAAAATCCTGTGCCATATCTGAGAGTGCCGTGCATTTATTTGCTGTCAGGGCAAAGTAAGGTTAACCTTCAATGACCTGTTCACTTGTTTATGTTGTATCCTTTAATGGTTTTCTCTTATTCCTAATCCTGGTAGGAATGCAGACCAGCAACGAATCCTGTGGAAGATCCCCGATATCTCCCACAAATCTGAAAATGGAGGTATTTCTTTCGAATGATGATTTAACCTGTTTCTTTAAATAACATAAATGTCGGGAGGACACGTGGTGCACGTGTGTGGCTGGTGTACAAATGCTGAAAATGGAACAACCGCAGATGAGGACGACAAGATGGAGAGGAAGTCTGGTGCATCGTGCTCACAGTAAACGCTGCCCCCTGTTGGACAGCAGTGGTACAGTTACTTCACCAAAGCTGATGTTTACAATGAGCTTTTATTTTTTAATGGGATAAAGTAAACGAGTGCCCACGGTAGCAGCTGTGGAGTATTTACACAATTTCTTCTGACCAAGTTTAGTTTGATTTGTGCTCCAGATCACAACCTGCCATCATTAGAGCCACACTGTCATTTACATGGCAAGGACACCCATCAGTGACCTGACGTCCAGGATGAAGACACGAAACTAGATTATGAATTCTCTTTAAGATGAGATCTGCAGTTGTAGAGATGTTGCTCATTTTTCATGTTGTTACATATTTGCTTTTGATGTTTCTAAATATTAAATATTTTGGGGCTTGGTCTCATCCTCTCACTCTCCTCCCTCAGGTGTGGGCTCGTTGTTAGCACGCTTTCAGCTAACAGAAGGTCCGAGTAAACCGGCTCCACTGGCGGTGCAGTTTACCAGCGAAGGCAGCACCCTGTCAGGCTGTGACATCGAGCTGGCCGGGCCAGGGTACCGCTTCTCGCTCGTCAAGAAGAGGTTTGCTGCAGGTCAGTCATATGGGGTTTTCAAAATAAAATATTCATTACTGCTACACGAAAGCTTAGCCAGCCAATTCCCGAATGTTAACAAAACACATTTTCCTTTATGTATGTTTAGGTCAAGATAATGTGCATATAGTAGGACTTGAAAACACTCAGATGAATCCACGCGGTAATAAAAGTCAGTTTTAGGATTATTTTAGTAACTTGGTAAAGCTTACCTGAGTAGTCAAAGGAGCTTGCAAAGAAAAGCGTCTGGACTTCTTTAAGTT